AGTTCTCAAGTTTTTCGTCCATGTTTTGGATTTTCCCTTTCATCTCTCCTGTATCATTTCTCACTTCTCCTATACCATTCTTCATTTCAGATCGCAGGATACTGTTTCCAGTTCCATTCTCAGGGAGGGAGAGAGATAGATAGACTTTTGGCTTCATGCAAGGAAAGCAGCAGAAGCAGCAGAAGTCAGCCAGCCTTTCTCTCCCCCAAATTCTGCCAGAATGGTGCAGCCTCTTGGAGCAGAATGCCTTGAAGGGTTCCAAAGACTCATTTCTGTTGGGTTCCAAAGACTCATTTCTGTTGGAGTTTGGGGGAGAGAAAGAAAGACTTTTGCTGTTTTCCTTGAGTGCAGTCAAAAGCAGAAGAAGAAAGAAGCAGAAAGAAGCAGCCCAGTGGCCAGGCAAGGCATGTGGGGAGAGTGGGGCAAGTCCCCCCCTCCACCCTTTTCCTCCCTCCCCTCACTACCTTGTGTTATTCACAATGCAAGTGATGCAAGCCTTGTGTTCCCACGGGCCATGTTGGCAGCATAGCCTTGTGTACCCGCACAGCCTTGATGGCTTTGCGGGGGGGGGCGTGCTTTGGGGGTGACATTTCTCTGCGGACCACCAAAATTTTCTCAGGGATCATCAGTAGATCCTGGCCCACTGGTTGGCAACCACTGCTCTAAGCAATGAACAAGCACCCTCTGAAACCCTTCCCCTATGGCCATTGGTCTCTGTAAAAGAGATACAATCTATTATTAAATGTCTAAAGGGCAATAAAGCCCCAGGTAAGGATCTTCTACCATCAGAAATATTTAAGAACTTCACTGATTGGTGGAGTCCATTATTGGCAGGTCTATTCACACAGATAAATAATACCTGCCATATTCTAGTTAGCTGAAAGATGGCAAGAGTGGCCCCATATACAAAAAAGGGGAATACAAAGGACCCTAGTAACTATAGACCCATCACCCTGATCAATATCATAGCAAAAATATATGCAAGGTTCCTTCTGAACAAAATGGAAATCTGGGCAGAGGAAAATTATATTCTCACAGAAGAACAAGCAGGCTTTAGACAAAACCAATCTACCATTGACAACTGCTTTGTTCTGAATTATCTAATTGCCAAATATGCCTATAAGAGGAGATCCCTATATACAGCCTTTATAGATCTTACAGCTGCCTATGATATGATAAGTACAGATGTACTATGGCATAAACTGACAGCTCTTAAAATTGAACCTGGACTACTAATCCTAATTAAAACCCTATATGCAAGTACTTGTTTGAAAGTGCAGTATGGGGTTAATGGAGCCTGATTAACAGGATCCACACAAGCAAAGGGGCAAGACAAGGGTGCATTTTAGCCCCATTACTATTTAATACTATTTACTATTTAATTTATACATCAATGACTTGGCAGGATTAATGAAAGATCCTAATCACTTGCTAATAAGATGGATGAAATTCTTCTTCTAAATAGATGCAATTCTGATTTCTACAACTCATCAGCTCTATGCTACAATGAAACCTGGCTACATGAAAGGATGACTTTATAAATATATCAGGTTTTCAGATATTTAGAGCACACAGAATTTCAGAGTCATCAGGTTTTTTTAAAAAAGGAGGCTTATGTTTTTATATCAACAAAAGCTGGTCTCAAGATGTAACTATGATATATAACCATTTTATTCACCAAGAGAGTTCTCCTCATTTATCCTAATAGTTGCGTATGTTCCTCCACAAGCTTGTGTAAACAAGACATTACTAATTCTAGCTGACCAGATAATAGAAGTTGAAGCAAAATACCCAGATTCCTTTCCCATTATTCTAGATCAGTGGTGGCTAACCTTTTTGGATTCCTATGCCAAAAAAACGTGTCAGCACACAGAAGGCAATGCACGCGGGGGGGGGCATGCCCCCTGAGCATGAGCACATGATTCCCCCCATGCTGCTGCCCCCTTACCTGCACTGAGCCTCCCAGCTGATTTTCAGCCTGTTTGAGGTCTTTTTCGGCCTGCCAGAGGCTTGAGGGAAGCCTCTGCTGGCCGAAAAATGGGTCCATTTCATCACTTCTGGTATTTCTGAAAAAGGCCCGAAAATTAGCTAGGAGGTGCGTGCATGAGCAGTGAGGTAAGTTTGCCTGGGGCTTGCATGTCCGCACAAATGGCTCTGCATGCCACCTGTGGCACACGTGCCATAGGTTCATCATCATGGTTCTAGATTTTAACCAAGGCAACATAAGGAAAGAACTTCCAAAATATTTTCAACATGTCAATTGTCCAACTAGAAGCAAGAATACTTCAAACCATTGCAACACAACCCTAAAAGATGCTTATCAGTCTTTACCACAAGCAGCTGTGGGACACTCTGATCATTGCATGATTCACCTTGTACCTGCTTACAGAAAAGACTTAAAACCATGAAATAAACTATTAAATCAGTGAAGACTTGGACTGAGGAGGCAAAGCTAAAGCTACAAATTTGCTTTGATTGCACTGATTGGAACGTTTTTGAAGATACCTTTGCAGACCTAGATGAGCTTACAGATACTGTAACATCATATGTCAGCTTCTGTGAAGACTTATGTGTACTGACCCGGAACCTGCAAATATACAGTAACAATAAACATTGGTTCACAGCTAAATTTAAGCAGCTATGTCATTCCAAAGAGGAAGCCTACAGAAAAGGGGACAGAATGCTATACAATCAAGCCAGAAACGTAGTATCAAGAGATATCAGAGCAGCAAAAAGAGGCTACTCTGAAAAATTAAGGAATCCGTTCTCAACAAAGTGCATGATCTATTTCACAGGCAAAAGCCAGGAAAAGCACCAGGCCCAGACAAGATAATTCCTTCTTGCTTAAAAGTCTGTGCTGACCAATTGGCCCCCATCTTCACCCAAATCTTCAATAAATCACTAGAGATGTGCTATGTTCCTTCTTGTTTCAAATGCTCTACTATCTTCCCAGTGCTGAAGAAGCCCTCCATCAAGGAACTGAATGACTACAGACTAGTTGCTCTGACAACTGTAGTTATGAAAACCTTTGAAAGGCTAGTGCTGTCTCACCTGAAAATCATCATGGATCCGCTTTTACACCCCCCTGCAATTTGTATACCAAGCAAATAGATCGACAGATGATGCTGTTAATATGGCTCTGTGCTACATTCTACAACATCTTGAATCTCCAATACCTATGCAAGGTTCTCTTTGTAGACTTCAGTTCAGCATTTAATAGCATCATTCCAGACATTCTTCTAACTAAACTAAACCAGCTAGCAGTACCTGAACACACTTGTAAGTGGATCATAAACTTCCTAACAGACAGAAAGCAGCAGGTGAAGCTAGGCAGAATCACATCTGATACCTGTACAACCCACCAAGGCTGTGTGCTTTCTCCACTTCTCTTCTCCCTGTATACCAATGACTGCATCTCAAATGATCCATCCATTAAACTACTGAAGTTTGCAGATGATACAACTCTGATTGGTCTCATTCAAGACAATGATGAATCCATATACAGACAGGAGGTTGTACAATTTGCCTCTTGGTGCGACTGGAACTATTTGGAACTGAACTCACTCAAAACCATAGAAATGGTGGTAGACTTTAGAAGAAACCCTTCCATATTACCACCTCTTACAATACTAGACAACACAGTATCAACAGTAGAGACCTACAAATTTCTATGTCCTATCATATCTCATGACCTAAAATGGACACCTAACATCAAAAATGTCATCAAAAAAGCACAACAAAGAATGCTCTTTCTGTGCCAACTCAGAAAGCCCAAGGAATTGCTGATACCAATTCTACAGAGGAATTATTGAGTCTGTCATCTGCACCTCTATAACTGTCTGGTTTAGTTCTGCAACCCAACAAGACAGACACAGTCTTCAACAGATAATTAGAACTGCAGAAAAAAGAATTGCTACCAACCTGCCTTCAATCAAGGACCTGTATAATGTTCAAGTCAAGAAGAGGTCTGTGAAAATATTTACAGACTCCTCATATCCTGGACATAAACTGTTTCAACTCCTGCCATCAAAACAATGCTTATAGAGCACTGCACACGAGAACAACCAGACACAAGCATAGTTTTTTCCAAATGCCATCACTCTGCTAAACAAATAATTCCCTTAACACTGTCAAACTATTTACTAAGTCTGCATTACTATTACTATCACTATTCATCTTCTCATCCTTTCACCCATCTCCTCCCACTTATGACTGCATGAATGTAACTTTGTTGCTTGTATCCTTATGGGTTTTTTATTGACTGTTTACTAGTATAATTTGATTTGATCACTTATTATTATATTTCTTAGTATGATTTGATTGCTTATTTGTATCCTTTGACTACTATTGTTATACCTATGATTCTTGATGAATGTATTTCTTTTACTTTTTATGAACACTGAGAGCATTTGCACCAAAACAAATTCCTCGTGTGTCCAATCACACTTGGCCAATGAAGAATTCTATTCTATTCTATTCTATTCTATTCTATTCTATTCTATTCTATTCTATTCTATTCTAT